GTACAATTACCAGAGCCCGATTCCTCTGACTTGGCGGATGAGGATTCCGATACAGGGGCTTCAGATGTACACAGCTCCCCTGATCAGCCTTCTCCGAACCAGGCAGTAGCCGATGACCAACCTATATCTCCATCTGAGAATTTAACCTCCTATGGAGACCTCATGAAAAGAATGGCACACTCCCTTGGCCTTTCCGTTGTACAACCACAACCACAGGTTACAGATTCAGTCTTCGGTGTCATGCAGCTAGATACATCGACGGCTATAGCACTACCCATGTCCACGGTCCTGTTACAGGCAGTTAAAGCTCCATGGGATAAACTGTCATTGGCTCCAGTGTCCACACGTCGCTTGGACCATATGTACAGAGTCCAAGAAACTGGAGCAGAATTCTTATTTGCCCATCCTCAACCAAATTCAGTGGTGGTAACTTCCTCATCCAAGTCGAAAAGAACCCATTCTGTCCCCTCAGACAGGGAGAGCAGAAAGCTAGATCCATTCGGGCGACGTTTCTACTCTACTGGAGCGCTATGGGTGAAGACCACCAACTACTTAGCGTGTATGAGTAGATATCAATACACTTTGTGGGAGAGGCTTTCTGAGCTTCTGGCAAACCTTCCAGAAGACAAGCGTCAGGCAGCCCGCATCATCCAGAAGGAGGGCATGGTGCTGGTGAAACAACAAATTAATACCTCTATACATGCCCTAGACACCTGCTCAAGGACAATGGCTTCAGCCATAGCTCTCCGAAGACATTCCTGGCTACGGAACACCAAACTACAGCCAGATACTAGGTCATACATAGAGGACCTCTCCTTCGATGACCTTGGTCTGTTTAATAGTACCACAGACACCATATTACAAGATAGGGATAAAAGCATAAAAGTTTCTCGTGCTCTGGGCGTTTCTTCATCCACGAGGCAGCAATACCGACCTTGTCCATGGTCTAGACCCTGGAAAAACGCACCCCAAACCGTCAATCTCCTGACCAGCAATGGAGGCCACGTACATCCTCTGGATGCCAGAAGCCCACATTTCAGAAACCTAGATTTGGATCGGGACAACAGTCCTCCCGCAGCAAGCAGGCAAAGTCCGCCAAACAGGGTTGTTTACTCCCCTTCCAGTCACATCCAACCCGCCTAACCCCCTTCCTCCAAACCTGGTGCCTCATCACCACAGATGAATGGGTGCTGTCCATCTTGACCCAGGGTTACCGCATAGAACCCCATTACTCCTGTCTTCGTCTCCACACACCCTTCTCCAGCCCTCCTGGAAGAAGTGTCCGTCCGTCTGCAGAAGGGAGCCATCTAGCCAGTGCCACTGCATCTACAGGGCAAGGGATTCTATTCCCACTATTTCACCGTTCCAAAGCGGGATGGAGGCGTTCGACCAATTTTAGATCTATGGGCGCTAAACTGCTTTGTGAGCTACCACCGCTTCTGCGTGGTGTCCTTGCAGCAGATTCTGCCACTTCTCCATAAAAACGTCTGGATGGTCACCCTCGACCTCCAAGACATGTACTTCCACCTCACCATCCACCCGTCCCACCGCCAATACCTACGTTTCGCAATTGGTCAACATCACTACCAATATGCAGCCCTACCATTCGGCCTTTCAAGTGCACCGAGAGTCTTCACAAAGACGATGGTGGTGGTCGCGGCCTTCCTTCATCTAAAGGGTATCTCCATCTACCCGTACATCGACGATTGGCTCTTGGTTGTGAGTTCCAGGGACGCCCTAGCCTCAAACATCGAGACGCTAGCCCTCCTGGGAAACTTGGGTCTGCAAGTAAATCTGGAGAAGTCTCAACCCGGTCCAGAAGATACACTACATGGGTGCGCTACTGGACTCCACAAATTGCACAGCCTACCTGCCACAAAACAGAGCAGCGGACATCATCAATCTAGCCACTGTCATGCATTCTCAACCTTCAGTGACGGCTTTCCAAATACAAAGGCTACTCGGCCTCATGGCCGCTACTACATCAGTCCTGGTTTTTGCAAAATTAAAAATGCGTCACCTGCAACTCTGGTTTATCTGCAATTTCAATCCAGAGCGAGACACACACTCCACCCACCTATTCCCACCTATCAAAGTACGGGATTCTTTACTTTGGTGGACCGTCCCTTCCAACCTATTCCAAAGAACACCCTTCCATCCTCCATCACCCCAAATTACCCTAACTACAGACACCTCCCTCTCGAACTGGGGCGCCCACATGATGGGACTTTGTGTTGGAGGCAGATGGGACACACAGAAACGGAATCGGCACATCAATTTTCTAGAACTGCTTGCGATACAGTTTGCTTTCAAGGGGAAGTGTGTCACGGTCCTCACGGATAATACTACTGCCCTCAGCTATGTGAACAAGCAAGGGGGCACCGTCTCCCAACGCCTCTGCGACCTCACCCTTCGGTTATGGGACTTCTGCATCGCCCACAACATCTTCCTAGTCACCACGCACATCCCGGGGCACATGAATGTGCAGGTGGACCACCTGAATAGGGCAGGACTCAGTCTGCACGAGTGGGAAATGAATCCAACTTACCTTCTTCCACTCTTCCACAAGTGGGGGTTCCCCCAGATAGATGTTTTCGCCACCAGGGCGAACAAAAAGTGCCCTCTGTTCTGCAGCCGAGGTGGCAGGGACCCGCAGTCTTTAGGGGACGGTCTTCTCTATCCGTGGTCCAGAAGATTTCTCTACCTCTTCCCTACACTGCCTCTGCTTCTGAGAGTGGTCTGCAAAATCATCAACAACAGAGCGGACTGCGTTCTCATAACCTCATGGTGGCCGAGGCAACCATTGTTCTCAACCATCCTCGATCTGTCAGTGGGGGGCTACCACCAATTTCCTCCAGCAAAATTTACCCTCCCATCAAAAGTCCTGTCATCCCCTGGGACCTTCCCCATGTCCTTTGCCAACTGATCAGGAAACCTTTTGAGCCGCTCGCAACTTGCGACATAAAATTCCTGTCCTGGAAAACAGCCTTTCTGGTCGCTGTCACTTCAGCTAGGCGATTTGGAGAAATACTGGCTTTCAGACATGACACTCCTTGTCTTTTTTGCCAGACGGCGTCCGCCTTGTTCCTGACATCTCGTTCCTGCCAAAGGTAGTGTCAGAATTTTACCTACAGGCAGAGGTCTTCCTCCCGGATTTCTTCCCTGCTCCGACATCCCCAGAGGAGAGGCTGTTACACCTTGGATATGCAGCATGCACTTCTGTTCTACCTAAACAGAACCCGTCCAACGAGACGTGACTGTCAACTGTTTGTTTCGTATGCCCCAGCAAGGCTGGGAACTCGCATCACAGCTCAGCGTTTGTCAAGGTGGATTGTAGGTCTCATCTGCCTCTGCTACCTTATTGCTAAGCAGCCATTGCCTGGCCCTATCAGGGCTCATTCAGCCCGAGCTGTTGCAGCCTCAACTGCCTTCCTCCAGCGAGTTCCCCTAACGAACATTTGCAGAGCTGCTACGTTGGCTACACCTAACACATTCATAATGCACTACGCCCTAGACGTTTGTAAGAACTCTCGTACCAACATGGGACATCACATCTTATCCTCGGCTTCGCAGTAATGACCTGCCAGCACCCTCCTCCAGGTAGGCCACTGCTCGCTAATCTCCCATGGGTGTGAAGCACAGAGACCACGTCGAAGATAAACAGGTTGGTTACCTGTAACTGGTGATCTTCGAGTGGTCATCTGTGCATTCACACCACCCGCCCTCCTTCCCCGCTGCTCTCAGCTTCTACATTTTTCATAGGGGTTGATTCGCGGCGGTTTGAAGGAACTGGCGGGATGTCCGCGCCCACCCCTCTGGGCATGCGTGGTGGGGTTCCTGCGCATGCCCGAGGTCTGGGCGCGAAAATCTGTTAAGAGCTTGCTACAATACCGATCGATCCACCGCATGCGCACTGTATCCCATGGGTGTGAATGCACAGATGCCCACTCGAAGATCACCAGTCACAGGTAACCAACCTGTTTTTCTTCATATCCTTTCCACGGTTCTGCACACCCTCCTTTCCTCCAGCTCTGGAGCAGGCAAGGATCTTACTTGACTGGCACCACTCTGGTTGTGGGGCTTTACTAGAAAGTGCCCAGAGCATCCTCCCTGTAGGGTTGCCAGTTAGGCTTGCCAGACCCCCTGGTTTGGTGGAGTTGCCTAATTTGGAGGGGCTTCTTCCCACCTGCCAGCCAGCCAGCTGGCAGGTGGGTGGAAGCCCCACCGCCAAGAGCAACCAGCCAGCCTCCTCCCCACTTCTTTCCAACAGTGTTTAAAGACATCCGCTGGGGAGAGGCGGGGGCTGCACACCTGCACTCTGAGCCCCGAATTCCTCCTTCTCCCATTTTCTCCAGGGGAACTAATCTCTGTTGCTTGGAAATTGGTTGTAATTCTGGGAGATCTTCATCCACTTCCTGGAGGTTGGCAACCTTACCCTTAGCCTAGGATCATGACAGATGTGAGTTACAGTCTTTGCTGATAAGGGGTCGCATGGTTAGTTGTAGACTTATTTTTCATGCTACTATATAGAAATATTTTCTCTATTCATATTTCCATTACAAAATAAATGAGAACTGATTTTAACCATAGTATGACATGTTGAAATTGTTAATTTTTCCACTGGTTTTACAGAAGAATAGAAAAATGTTAAGGTGTATAGAGTTGGATCCTAACATATGCACATGGAAGACATCTACAGAAGCATATCTCCCCCAGCTTCTCCTAGCAGCCCCCTAAAAAGCTGCTTCTCAGTACCAGGGAGGAACCCATCTGAACAATGCCATATGGGCAATAAGGAAGGGGAACTAGGCAAAATCATCCCTCACTTGCACTTAAATGGAACAATGTTGAAGACCTCTTTTCAGATACTACTTCTGTTTGTAGAAGTTGGCATTCAGCCCACAGTCTTTGTTACACTAGTCTTTGTTAGCTAGATCTGTATGTATACTTACTGAAGAAAGATACTGTCATCTTACTATAACTTTACAATATTTTTCTAGCGGTGGTAACACTCCTAAACAGCCAGTGGTTCGTTTCAAAAGGAACAAACATCACAAAGGATCAATCTATTGCGTGGCATGGAGTCCCTGTGGACAATTGTTGGCTACTGGTTCCAATGACAAATACGTAAAAGTGCTTCCTTTCAATGCAGAGACTTGTAATGCAACAGGTAAGTACCAGTTGCTGTTGTCAATGTTTGGGCAAATTTGACTTGTAAATGTGGTCCTTTAAAAAAACTTCATATCTTATTTTGACACATAATGAGCATATTGATTTTTACTAAATAATGCAAAGTATTAGTCTTCATAATATGCTTCAAGTCTTTATGCACAATACCTTTTAAACTGAGCCTGGTTTATTATTTATTATTGTACTATTGCTATGCACAACATTTTACAGAGTACGATAAAAGAGGTAAATCCTTTCCCTGCAGAGTCCACAACTTAAATTTTCACAGAGAAGAAAAAAGGGGAGGGGTGGCAAAACAGAGTTAACTTTCAGTCTTCTTTCTGATAAATATATCCTTTTAATTATGCTAACAATATCTCAGTTTCTTTGTAAATGCTAAACATTTCTTCAATATGTATCTGTACTCATTTGCGCTAAAATAATAAAATTCAGAATTATTATGAATTAACCTCTTTGATGTATCTTAACAGAGATTGGTGTTTCCACAAATATAGGTATATAAAGATCCAGTCATTTTAGAATTTTCTGATTAAGAAATAACACTTGGTAGCTAACTTTTTTTGTACCAGAGGTAAGGAAATGCAATCCTCAAGGTTCCTGTTTACTTATTAGTTATGACTTGTGTCCTAAAGTCAACAAGATATTGAATTGTGGAAACAACAGCACAAATTGTATCTGAAGAAGTGTGCATGCACACGAAAGCTCATACCTTGAATAAAACTTTGTTAGTCCTAAAGGTGCACTGGACTCAAACCTTGTTATGGAAGAAAAATGTTAGTAGAGAGAGATTCTGTGGTGTGCATTACCTTGGAGGGGGGGGGGGAACATGTCAGTAATTTTCTTTATGTACTATTTCATTGCTTTATTATTAGATCTTGACTAATTCTAAAGTGCCAATCACCACTTTGGGGTCAGGAAAGAATTTGCCTTCATGCCAGATTGGCCCAGGTATCCTGGACTTTTTTTTGCCTTCCTCTGGGTATAGAGCAGTGGTCATTGGGGGAGAGGGGGAGGAGGTAGCTGTGAATTTCCTACAGTGTTGGACTACATGACCCTGGGGATACCTTCTTCCACCTCAAAGTATCTATGTTAAATTCCTTTTAGTTGACCAATGTACTGAAATTATTTTGGGACCCAAGGCGTGAGTAGATTTCAGAAGGCCAGAAGTGTTAATAACCAGATGCACTGCAAACTATGGGGGAAATTACATATGGAAAGCACCTTGGTTTCCCAGTGTACTTGGTGACATTTGGTAAAAGCCTTTACATGATCTGCATTGGGGTTTAACATGGACATGTTGGCCATAGATAAATACTTTTGCTAGAAGTTTGTCATTTTAAGCTGTTCATGTATATATGAAATTCTGTCGATAATACCAGAGAGAGGTTCAGATTTATACAACACAAAATGCCCTTTTGTGACTATTTCTACTTTTGATTCCCAGTCTGATCTCTTGGCAAGAAGTGTTTTTTTCTCCCCTCATCCAGCTGAAAATAAGCTACTGTTTTCCTTAACATTTCTGTGCCAAACTTATTTATTGATTTGCAGCTTGTGTTTTAATGATTTTTGGTTTGTTATAGCACTGAATGAAGGATAAAACAATTAGATTATAAATTATTTAAGGGATAACACAGGTGCAACAAAAACCACAGCTCTGTCTGTACAAAGCAAATTGAGTCAGAGGAAGGCCATCCAAGAAGGAGATTTAATACTCTAGTAGTCTCTGCTTGGTTTTGTTAATCAAAATTGTGCTTCCACTTAGTGATAGCTCACACTTAGAAGTCTTCTTCAAGTCCCACGCTTTCACTTTGGCACCGCGAAATCTGAGAACAATTTGTAATGGAAAAGATCACTGCCCAGATTTGTTACTCTGACAACATCTCCTTATACAAAGGCTTCTAAAGGAAGTAGTTCCCCGCATTTAACTGTCTTGCCCAGAACGGAACTGTTCCTAGGGCTTTAAAACCCCTCAATCTGTTGCTATTTTGATCTGTTAATGTTTTTGCCCTGGTGGCCCCAAAGATTTTACTTTGTAATGGCTCATCTCACCTTCTGATTTTGGTTAATATAATTTGATATATTTTTTTAGTTTTTAACATATGATCTGTTAATGTTCTTGCTTTAGGCTTTACCCTGGTGGTCCCAAAGATTTTACTTTGCATTAGGGTTGCCAAGTCCATTTTAGCCCCCAGTGGAGGACTTTGTGGGGTGTTCCTGGAGGGGGAGGGGCATCCCGACGTGATGACGTCACGTTGGGGACATCCGCCCCCCGCCCGATGTGCGCGTGGTGAAACGCCAGCTCCTTGCACTTAAGTGCAAGGAGCTGGAAGGTTTCACATGCCCGATCCGCTTGGAGATCGGGCTTGTGGGGAAACGCTAGCTCCCTGCACTTAAAGGGGCCCCTTTAAGTGCAGGGAGCTTGAAGGCTTCGCACGCCCGATTAGGTGCACAGTAAAAGCCAGCTCCCTGCACTTAAAGGGAGCCCCTTTAAGTGCAGGGAGAAGGGAGAGGGGTGGCTGCGGGTGTTGGGGCTTGGGGCAGGGCTTTCCCCATCGGCCAGCTGGCCGGCGGCGGGTAGAACCCCCCCATAAAAGCAGGGGACCCCTGCTAAACTGGGGGGGGTGGCAACCCTACTTTGCATTGGCCCGTTCCACCTTCTGATCTTGGTTAATATAATTTTATTTTATTTTACATTTTGAACATATAAAGTGTATATTTCCAGATTCTTTGTCGCTGTAACATTGTATTGTCTCACTCGGCAAATTAATTAAAAAATATTTTAAAAAATTGTGCTCCCCATATTGTTACACTTTAAAGTAAAAAAGACATGTTTCCCCCCCCCCCCCCCCCCCAGTACTAATAAAAGCATAGACAGGCCAGTGTTTCCATTAGGATTGAAGGATTAAATCCTGTTTCTTATCATACGGCCCCGGTCTGAACTGCAGTTATGCAAGTGTGCAATTTACTTGTTTCTGTTTTAGCCCGATACAGACTATCAGTATGGCTTGGACTATAGTGGTATCTATACATTTCTGGATTTGTACCACAAATCTGGCCACACCGCAAATTTAATGTGTTTAATCAGAAAATAAAAACTTATCAGCAATTCATGTGACTTGTATGAACAACCCTCCAAGGCTTTTGGAGTTCAGAGATAGAAATGCACAATAAATTCTGACAAACAGCTGTTCTGAATATGAATAAGCGTTGCTAAAACTGGAAGTCTTACATCATTCTCTAAAGCATGGGTGGATATGGTTTGGAACTGCAGGGTCATCAAGGCCCTCACATAAAAATGTTCTTTCACGTATTTTTAATCCCATGGGAAGCTTTGGTAATGAGCTAGGCAGCAGGAAAAAAATGAAGATCCAAGATATTCCATATTTTGACATGCAGACAGTCTGTTTTTGATACTGTTTGCAATTCACCAAGCAAACAGTCTTGTAGGATCCAGTCCAAAATCTCTTAATGAGACTTGAAATAACTGCCTGCTTTTACTAATATCACAGCTAGTCATGAACAGTACATCTTTCTGAACAAATATTTCTTAAAATCATAGAATCACAGAGTTGGAAGGGGCCATACAGGCCTTCTAGTCCAACCCCCTGCTCAATGCAGGATTAGCCTAGAGCATCCCTGACAAGTGTTTGTTCAGACACTGCTTAAAGACTACCAGTGGGGGGAGCTCACCACCTCCCTAGGTAGTTGATTCCACTGTTGCTCAACTCTTACTGTCAAAAAGTTTTTCCTAATATCCAGCGGGTACCTTCCCACCCTTAATTTAAACCCGTTATTGCAAGTCCTGTCCTCTGCTACCAAGAGGAACAGTTCCCCGTCCTCCTCTAAGTGACAGCCCTTCAGATACTTAAAGAGCGCAATCATCATGTCCCCCAGCCGCCACTTCTCCAGGCTAAACTTTCTGGTATTCCTAAACTACTTTCTGGTATTTTACTTTGATTAAATGGCCCTGAATATATAACAACCAGTTGGCTTGAAACCAATTTCTGGTCTAAGCTGAGCAACTGGCATGTAAAGTAAAAGGCTTAGCAAAGCTCTCAAACTTTGCTAAGCATGGACAGTTCATGACTTTTAAATATAAGGTATAATCAGTCTTGATCTTTTATTATAAAAGTTTTTATGTATAGGGTCCCAAACCTTTAATAATGCCGCTTTCAGTCAATGCTGCTTAAAATATTTTTGGGAGCCTGCTTTGTCATACCACAAAAAGGCATTCCATCCTAACAATAAATCATGGTATTTATTGTCTCCAGGTATTTTCCAATCCAGACCTGGCAACCCTACCTGGATGTGGGGTAAAAAATTATTTCATTTAGATCCCACCTTCTCCACAATGGGGGGACCCAAAGCAGCTTACATTATTCTCCTCTCCTTCATTTTATCCTCACCAACAGCCCTGTGAAGTAGGCTGGGCTGGGAGTGTGGGTGGCCCAAGATCATCCAGCAAGCTTCCATGGCAGAGAGAGAATTAGAATCTGGGTCTCCAGGATCCTGGTCCAGTGTTCTAACACACTTAAGCAATACTTTTGGTTAGGGGAATGAGACTACCTCCTTTAACTCTGACAAAATTCAGAATAGCCTCTCCTGATCTTGCAGCTTTTACTACTGTAATCTCTTTTTCCTCCAGGCCCCATTTTGGGCCAAACAGGTACCCAGGTAAAGTAAACAATATACTTGCTTAAGCTGGTTGTCAAATAAAGCTTTTGACTATTTTATGTGTTGTCACAAGAACTGCTTTAAAAATGTGACTATATAACAAGCCCACAATTTACTCTGTTGTGTGTTCAAATTGTATTAGGACCAGATTTGGAATTCAGCATGCATGATGGAACTATTAGAGATCTAGCTTTTATGGAAGGTCCAGAAAGTGGCGGGGCCATTTTAATAAGTGCTGGAGCTGGGGACTGCAATATTTATACAACAGACTGCCAGCGAGGGCAAGGTCTTCATGCATTGAGTGGCCATACTGGTAGGTTGCTGGTAGTTTTTATCAAAGTCATGGAGTTTAAAAACTGTTGCTGTTTTTTTTTAATGCTTTTTTAAAAAAATGCTTTGCTTTGATGGATGAACGAATTATTTAAGAAATTCTACCCATGGTGTACACAGAACCTTAAGAACATTATGAGGAATAAGAAAAGTTAACTGTGTCTACCACCCTATTGCCCTCATTTTGTAGGAATAATGCAGATTTGCACACCAACATCGCATGGTTAATATCTATGTGGTGAACTACCTTTAGGGCTCATCTCTTGAACTGAATCAGTACTCTGCTATCAATGACACTGCTAGCAAAGTCTCCCATTTAAGTGCCAAACTAGATGTTACCTCTGACACAACTCAGGTTGGGGGTCCTCTGAGCTGACACTGCTCTTTTTAAAGACTAACATTGCCCAGCACACTGGAGCCAGTTCAGCTTGGGACTGCAGTGCAGGGGAAGAACATACTTCATTCTTCCCAAGCTGTTTTCCTGCGTTAGAATGGCTGCGGGAGGAGGAGTATGTCTGCCCTGTGGGGAGGGAGGGGTGCTCCATATGCTGCAATCAGTGGCGCAAATAAAGCCCCCTAGCAGCCATTTTGGGCGAGGAAAATGTCTAGTTTGGCTTTTCGTGGAATGTTGTCATCTTCACAGCTTCTCCCATCTACATAAAATGCTGGCTGCTTAAGTGTTCTACTCTAAAAGTAATAAACTTTGCTTTCCTTCAGAATAAATTTTAAATAAATTTTAGGAATAGGAAGTCAAATGTGCATTAAGAAGCAGCAATATTTCAAAAAAAGGTATTTGATTAGTAAGTTTTCCATTTGTATTTAATGTTTATATGTTATCTATTCATTGACTTTATACCCCACTTTTTCCCTCGATGAGGACCCAAAGTGGCTTATAGAATTCTTCCCTTCTCTATTTGATCCTCACAATAATCTTCTGAGATAGGTTATAAATCGATCCCCCCAATATGCTCATGGTTTGTTAAGTGTGAACTATGCCTGTGTCAGACCATGTGCAAACCCAACGGTAGTCTTTGTATCTGCTGAGAGAGATTGCTACCTATTCGAGCACTTTCATCTTTCTTAATTGGTTGCTGTGAAAAAAAATATTGTTGACTCCCATGTGAAGAATTTTGTCGTATCCCTGATAAAGTATAAGTAATACAAGTCGAGAATTCATATTTGCAGGTCACATTTTAGCACTTTATACCTGGAGTGGGTGGATGATAGCTTCTGGATCCCAAGACAAGACTGTAAGATTCTGGGATCTTAGAGTACCGAGTTGTGTTCGGGTTGTTGGAACAACATTTCATGGAACTGGTAAGGTTGCTACTGTTATTCCCTCATAGCTAGCAGTTATAGCTGTTGCTCGGAAAAGGGGTCTTCACATAAAATGGAATAATTTACTAATGTACTAATAATTTCTCCAGAGGAAGAATGAATATTCACAAGTTTAAGCAAGTGTACTGGCTTAGAAGGGGCTGTTCCACATTCATATAGGAGTCAGTTTGAACTATGTTATTTGTCTGTATACTTACTGGCCGGGTCTGTTTCCTTTTAGTATATGAATATGAAAGTGATGATTTCTTTTTTAGCCTAACCTATGTGTAAAACATTACTTACTTCAGAGTTAGTGAAAAATTATGCTCAGCCTGCTCAGGATAGTTCAGTACTTCCAGCTCTAACCTGCAAAATATAAAACAGCCATATCTGAAGTCAGCAGTTTCTGTATTAATAGGCACAGTCTTGTCTGGAAATGCATCTAGCTTTATTCTAATTGTCTCTTACTTTATCATAAGGAGTCAAGAAGGCTCTGTCGGTTTAATAGTCGGGTTTTCTTCTTGCAGGCAGTGCTGTGGCATCAGTAGCTGTAGATCCTAGTGGTCGTCTTCTTGCTACTGGCCAGGAAGACTCCAGTTGTATGCTCTATGACATTCGTGGTGGGCGAATGGTGCAGAGTTATCATCCTCATTCCAGTGATGTCCGTTCTGTTCGTTTCTCTCCCGGGGCTCATTACTTGCTCACAGGATCTTACGATATGAAAATAAAGGTGACAGACCTGCAAGGTAATTTACCTCAGCAACAAACAATGGGGAGTATTTTAATTCTAAACATTTATGCATAGATTGGGGGGGGGGTGAGCCATGGGTGGCAGGTGGTGATAACTTTCTCCTGTTGCAAAGTGTGAAATGGAGTTTTGGGGTGACATCTGTAAGAGCTCAGATGATTCCTGCAACTCAGGGATGTCACTTAGGGAGAGGTTTGTGACTTCTGTTTTATGTATTAACAGTATAAGTGGGGAAAGAAGCACAAGCTGTGTATTCTTGGCAGCATACAAACTCACTCTGAGAATTACGGCGTTTTCAGGAATTTGAATAAAGGGTTGCTTGTTAAAGTGATCAAATCTACATGGATACATAAACTTGAAGTGAATGGTAATACTGTTCAAGGTTCATGTAACTAGTAACCATTCTATTTTGTTTTAGGTGACCTTACTAAACAGCTTCCAATAATGGTTGTAGGGGAACATAAGGACAAAGTGATTCAATGCAGGTGGCATACACAAGATCTTTCCTTCTTGTCATCTTCTGCAGACAGAACTGTAAGACTCTGGACCTATAATGGCTAAAGTGTAGTTTTTAAAAGCAACCTATGCAGATTAAGCACAGACATACAAGACTATTGGAACATTTGGTTAGGCATTTTAAAAAACAGCAGCATTTGACCAGGAAACTGTCTCATGGAGAAGAGATACTTGCCACCATTACCTGATTGCTAGGAAGCGTTGGTGTGTTATAGTATTACTTTGCAGTGCTTTCCCGGTGATCTCATGCTGCTATGACCTGTTGTAGTCTTGTTGCCGAAGTCTGTTGAAAGGGTTCTTGCATTGTCAGTGTGCACTCAAAAATAAGACTAATTATGTGTTTACAGTTTAGTGTGAACTGCATTCTCTAGTCTTTGCCTCAATAACAGGTTTTTTCCCTAGAAAAAAGTAAAACAACCACAATTCAGTCAAGTTCATTAGGTCCACACAGAATAGAAAATTACAAACTAGTAATGTTGTGTTTCACACTGATGCATACATCACACCCTTACTAGTGGTCAGTTTTCTTTTGCTATGAATACATCCATGTTTGATTTTTTTTTTGTACCCCTGATTATGAACTTTAAAAGTGACTAGTAGTGGCTGATCCTTGATCACAGTTCATTAAGTCTGTGGTGCTTTTCAATTTGGAAACTTCAAATTGGGCTGGTTTTTATTATTAGATTATATCCAACACACAAGCTTTTGGTGGGCAAAATGGTTTGCTGAAGAGACATTAACACTTTTGAATGCAACAAAATACCTCTGTGTATAATGTACTGTAGAAATGAAATGAAGTAGTTGCAGGTGGATGGAGCCACAGTTTTTAATAGTAATGGCCATGATCTCACAAACCTTCATGCACACATGTGGGAAGACAGCGTGTGCCGTGGAGAGTTTCTCTGAAGTTTCCACCAGAATAGATAGCATCATTGAAGATTTTAACTCATTTTTATGTGAAAAGCAGCTTAGCTGTTCAGCAGTGCAACTGACTTCAGTGGAACTCCAAGGAAACTTCCTTTTGCACTCACTGCTATCTTGTATGTGGGCATTTTGAGCACCATAAGGATATTAAAGGCAGCAGCACGGCTTGAAATGCTACGTCTGCATGATGATTCCCAGTTCAGAAGCTTATCTTGGCTTTTATTTCTTGCACTGTCTATAATACAGAGTTGCAGTTTTATTTCTAAATATCTTTTAGAGTCTTTTATGTTTATGTATTGTTTATATTTTCATATTGTACAGTTATATTGCTTTTAAATTAAATAAATATTTAGGTTATTTATTTGAAGTACTGTTGAAGTTTGGTTCTAATTAATACTGTGCATTGTAGAAAGACCTTTTTAATTATCGTAAAAAAGTTGAGGTTACTATAGCAGTGTATATGTGCTTTAAACTCAATAAAGACTTCCAGCACCTGAAAGTGAGAGGACCCATTATTTTGATGTTTCTGTACTCAAATATTTCATACGTTAATAATTTTACTATGTTGTCATAACTCACTGCAACCATGCTGTTTTTAAAACAGAGTGGTGTGGTTAAAAAAAAATAAAAGTAATAATAGTAAAGTAGTTTTTAGAGCTGGTCACTGGCTTGAATTCCATTATCTGTCACCTGCAGGAGCTGACAGTTTTGGGTCTTACCTGCGTTCCCCCCCCCCCCCCATCAAGTCCTTTCTTGTTGCACCTTTGTGGTCTAACAGCTACAAAGCTATTAGGAAGCTATGGGAGGTTGGGAAGCTGAAGGGGGTAGGGGAGAGCATTATCCTGTCTGCTCTTCTTCCATTGGTGGAGATACGGGTAGATTTTGTCCCCTCCCCAATGTATCCTACTGACCTGGGTAGCTGTTAGATCACACAGGTCCCACAGCCCCAGGAATAGACTTGGCTGGGGGGAGGTAGATGTGGGGATAATTCACAATTCTTTTGTCTGAAGACTGCAGGCTCTCCAACCCATTAATTTGTCTCTTTATTACACAGAGTATGTAAAACGTTTAAAATAATTTTTATACTACATTAGATTTAAAGTATTGCCCGGTTCACAGCCACTGTGTGGTCTCAAAGGCACATGCTTATAATGTACAAATGAAAATTAAGATGTACTACAGTGGGGATGCTGCCAGATTCTAGTCAAATGTTTAAAAACTGGTCAGTACCCTACCCTGTCAATTGCTAGCAAGTCAGTAATGTTGACTGAAGAAGTGTAGCAACATGAACACTCCCATAGCATTCATAGAAGCTGGGCACTATCCATCTCTCAGTGCACCCAGTCATGTTATAGGGATGTTCCCAGACACCGCGCCCCCCATTTTAACTGTGTATAATGCAGCAGACACCATGAGAGAAACAAGTTTTATTCTTGATGGTGTATTGTCCTCATCTTGCAACTCTGACACCTGTCCACAATCAATTCACAAATGACATACACCACCTTGTAACAGGAAGATGTGGAGGATATCCTTTGTTCATAATATTTCTACCCTAGCAACTAACCCTCATTGCCCATAGGGAATAATGGAGACCAGAGCACACCTGACCATAGGGTATAATGGACTCCACGCTTCGCACAATGAATAAGGTAGACCACATGTGGAGGGAGGGAATAAGGGAGACCACACGTGCCGATAGGGAATAAAGTAGACCACGCTTGCCCAAAGAGGATATTGGGGGCCACGCTTGCCCAAAGGGAATAATACAGACCAAATTTCCCCATAGGAACTACTAGAGAGCATCCTTGCCCATAGGGAATAATAGAGACAATGCTAGCCCATAGGGAATAATGCTGTCCTCGCCTGCCCACAGAGGACAATGGAGTTCACGCTTGCCCATAGGGAATAATGGAAACCACACTTGCCCATAGGGAATAATGGAAAGCACGCTTGCCCGTAGAGAATAATGGAAAGCACGCTTGCCCATAGAAAATAATGGAAAGCACGTATGCCCATGGAGAGTAATGGAAAGCACACTTACTTATAGAGAATAATGGAAAACATGTTTGTCCATAGGGAACAATAGAAACCACGCTTGCCCATAGGGAATAATGGAGACTACGCTTGCCCATAGAGAATAATGGAAACCACACCTGCCCATAGGGAATAATGGACACCACGCTTTCCCATAGGGAATAATGGAAACCACGCTTGCCCATAGGGAATAATGGCCACCATGCTTGCCCATAGGGAATAATGGAGACCACGCTTGCCCATAGGGAATAATGGAAAGCACGCTTGCCCATAGAGGATACTGGAAAGCACGCCTGCCCACAGGGAATAATGGCCACCATGCTTGCCCATAGGGAATAATGGAGACCACGCTTGCCCATAGGGAATAATGGAAAGCACGCTTGCCCATAGAGGATACTGGAAAGCACGCTTGCCCACAGGGAATAATGGCCACCATGCTTGCCCATAGGGAATAATGGAGACCACGCTTGCCCATAGGGAATAATGGCCACCACGCTTGCCCATAGGGAATAATGGAGACCACGCTTGCCCATAGGGAATAATGGAAAGCACGCTTGCCCATAGAGGATACTGGAAAGCACGCTTGCCCACAGGGAATAATGGACAACACGCTTGCCCATAGGGAATAATGGAGACCACGCTTGCCCATAGGGAATAATGGAAAGCACGCTTGCCCATAGAGGATACTGGAAAGCACGCTTGCCCACAGGGAATAATCGAAACCAGGCTTGCCCATAGGGAATAATGGCCAACACGCTTGCCCATAGGGAATAATGGAGACCACGCTTGCCCATAGGGAATAATGGAAAGCACGCTTGCCCATAGGGAATAATGGAGACCACGCTTGCCCATAGGGAATAATGGCCACCACACTT